AGTTTTAAGAGAACGGAGCGTCCGATTTGAATAATTCAAAAAACATTTCACTTGTATTGACAAGATAAAGAATCGATAAAATTTTCATGAAGGTAGGTCTAGCGGTTTCGGAGATCTAATGAAAAAAGTACAAAAAAGAGCCATTTGGCGGTCAACAATAATCATTAGACATTAGACATGTGCACATCAAATTATCAGATATTTTATAGAGATTTTAACAATAAGTATACATTTTGTTAACATTCCTATGGGTTCCGTACCAATGTTTATGCGTTAGACAGCGACGCGGCGCTTACGCGCTTTATATTTTGTCCCTATGCAGTTAAAGCAGTACGATTGCTTTGAAAAAAAGTTCAGATCTTCTACAATATGTCAAAATAAAGAAAAAAAATTTTTTTTTCAAAAAAAAAATTTAAAAAAAAATGTTTTTTTTTTAAAAAAAATTTTATTCAAAAAAAAGTTATTTTTTGTCCAATTTATAGTTTCTCAAAAATCTTATTCTTTCAAAGTAATTTTTTTTCAAAAATGTTAATTGTTTTTAAAAAATAATAATTTTTGGTACGGGAAGTTACAGCAATTTGCCTTAAGGCACGATGCCTTAATTGCCTTAAGACAGAATTCCACTTACAGCTAGTTTCAATTTATTCAGACTATAATTTAAATTATATTTTACAAATAATCGTGAATTCTATGTCCCAGGATACCTCGGTACGGCCGACGTGCGCGCAACCCAGATCAAGGCCTCGTTCCAGGTTAAGTGTTAATTTAGCCTACCGGTTTGGAATAAAACGCTAGGAAAACGTGCATATGTGTGCATAACTATTTAATTTACAATAATTTCTAAATAAATACTTGCTCCTTGAAAACTTTTGGGTTTTTTTGTTTTACAATTATATTCTTAAAGATAAATTAAATAAAATACAATTTGTAAATTGAAAAAATATAGGTAGATAACACATTTTTTTCGGGATTGCTATTATTATTTATGATTTCATTTTTTTGAACTAAAATATTTTTCTTTAATAACAGGTTAATCTGGAAGTTTTTAATAAAATGTCATTTAAAAGTAAAGAAATAACTCTACTGACGAGCAAATTAACAAATTAGTAGTAAAATGTATTTCATGAGAAAAGAAGAAGTCAGCTTGGAAATTATTAATAAAATGTCATTGAAAAGAAAAGAAAGAACTCTACTGACGAGCAAAAGTGGGAATAGTTAGTGAAACATAATATGAAAAAAAGACTAAGTTAAGTGTAGATTCGGGCTACCGGTTTAAAATGGAACGCTAGAAAATATCATTAAGTTTCTTAAATTTACATATATTTTTAGATTTATTTCAAAATCTATATTGGTAATGAAAAATAAATAATAATATTTTTAGGGTAAGTTATAGTAATCGTAAAAAATTCAAAAATACATTTTTTACATATCTTTACGTTTCAGAGATTTGTGAACATTTTGGCGTACCTTAGAGAAAATAGTGTATGTGTGTGCGGATACAAATATTCGTCGACGATTTTGCGAAAACAGATCAACCGATTTGAATAATTAAAAAAAAAATTCGATTCGTATTGATAAGGAGACGTGCTGATTAGTTTTTGGCAAAGGCAGGTCTAGCCGTTTCGGAGATACGCAGCAAAAAGTGCCAAAAATGGTACTTCAGTTTTTGAGATAACGGAGCGTCTGATTCAAATAATTCAAAGAACAATTTGACGAAATGAAGAACTGATCAAATTTTTGGAAAGGCAGGTCTAGCGGTTTCGGAGATCCAATAAAAAAAGTGAAAAAATGTCATTTGGTATAGAATAAATGCTTCATGAAAAAAATTAAATAAAAAAAAAAAATCCAAATATAAAAAACAGAAATTTCTCAAAAAAGTCAATTTCCTTCAAAACTTTCAAAATTTCTCAAAAATCTCTTTTTTCCAAGATTTTTTTTAATAATTTGCCTTAAGGCTAAATGCCACTTTCAACTAGTTATTATTAAAATGTTATGTTTTTATTGTACTGAATTTCAATGGACATTTTTTTCGAGTTGAGTCACTTTCCGATGGCATTTTCCATTGAAATGTTGTCTTTGTGTTTGCGTTGGAAAAAGGCCGAAGCCGAAGCCGAAGCCGAAGCAATTGAATGCACACAAAGCAAATAGATTAAGTTGATAATGGAAAACTTAAAAATAGAGCCGAATCGATTTTCTGTCGCCAAAACATAAAGGCATTTTGCAACATGGACACGAACACATTCGATAAGGACATATATAATATATTGTGCGAATAACACATTTTTTTTTAATATGGTATGTTCTTTCTATTCCGATGATGGTTTTCTCGTGTCCTGACTGACTTATATTAGTTATCGTGGTGGTGTTCGCCTTAAATGTAATTTATTCTGCAGACCGGTGAGTGGGCCAATGCTGATTTGCATATAACGATTATTTTCTTTCGTCTTCCACCAGGCGAACATGCAAACTTTGAATACATTGCGCCATTTCGAAAGATCCCAATCAGATTATTTTATGGTGCAAGATAAAAGGTAGGTAAAGGGTTGAAGGGATAAGGGATATTTGTGGATGTTCTCGATATGTGTTATCAGAGACACGCAGTCCGAGAACAAGATAGAAATATTATCTAATTTTTCTCTAAAACGTGTCCATCAACTCTATAATTTTAAATCACTTAAATTCTTCATTTTTTATAATCATCTTATGGTCTTCCTGAATTAATTTTTTTTGTTGAAGCCAAAAAATCTGATTCGCTAATTTTATGCTTTCTGAACATTTCAAGTCATTCTGGATCGATTGGCATTAATATTAAAAACTAGTTGAAAGTGGCATTTTGCCTTATGGCGAGTTGCATAAACTTCTCGAAATGTGTAATAATTGACTTAATCAACCGAAGTTGAAATTAGATGAAATTTTCAACTGCTCGATTATCAACATCATGTACGAAGTTCTAGATATTATTTAATGATTTAAATTAATAGTAACATTTTTAACACAACTATAGAAGTTTTGTAGGCTTTCAAATTTGTGATATTCAAATTTTGACTCATCACATCACAGAAGCGAGTTTTGACAAAAATTTTCAACATTCATTTTTTCAAATTTGATGATTTTTTAAAGTTAAACTATTTGCCGTACAGTTATAAATTTTTAGTATATTCTTTAGGACCACGATGTCTATCAACATAAAAATTTTCAATAATCAATTACGAAGAAACGGCTCGGCAGATCTTTGTCCAAAACTAATCAGTACGATTCCCAAATAATATCTTTCAAATAGATCTTGAATTTTTAAAATCAAGTCAGGATTTTTTGCTAAAACATGGATAAAAAATTTTCACTTTTCTCTTAGCTACTAAGAAACGGCTCCGCCGATCGTCGCACCAAAATAGAAAACAATAGTCCTCATCGAAATATTTCGAATGGCTTTTAAATTGTTGAAATTGGTCCAGCCGTTTTCGAGAAAACGTCGATTTAAGGTGAACAATCTGTTCATACACACACATATACTTTTTCCGAATTTGGTCTCATTCGATTCAGAATGACTTGAAACGTCGAGAAAACATAAAAATTAGGAGATCGGATTTTTTTTATGAAAACAACGATTTTAGCTCAATGAAGACCAATGCTTATTAAATTTGAGAAATGATCAACCAAGTACTTTCTTGATAATTACCAAAAATTTTGGCAACGATTTCGCAAAAAAATCCTCAACAGATTTTAGAAATTTGAAAACCAGTTAAAAGATATCAGTTGCAAGTCTTGCTGATTAGTTATTGGTAAAGATCGACCGAACCGTTTCTTCGTAGTTAAAAAAAATATATTATCCAAACATGTTTAAACTTATACTATAATTATAATATTATATATAAACGTATAATGTGTGACAAAAATCAAAAGTTCTCACTAAATATGTGTTATGATTCAGCATTTGCAAAGGAATCTATTGTGCACGTTTCGACCCTTAATATGTGTCATCATGCAACTGTTTTTTTTTCAAATTTATGATGTACGTTTCTACACCGGATGTGTGACATCATTTAGAAGAAAAATATATATGTCTTAATAAAGCATTTCTTATGTACGTTTCGACGCAAAATATGTGCCATCATACGAAATTCTAAAAATAATTATTCAGTATCAGATTTACTAATTCAGTAATATATTGAAAAATATACCATTAGATTATCATAAATATTTACTGAAATTTTCCCTTACAAGCCTTTTAAAAAAGAAAAACAAACCTACAAAGATACAAATCAATAGATCAAACTAATTACAGCACCATTTCGTTTGCTGAACGAAAACAACTGAATTTTTCATCAATTATTTGAACAGGGAAAAACACTCCCAATAAATACACACAAACACACACACACATAGATAAATATATATAATGTGTTCTAATTACATGTGTAATTATTACACGTGCATTGAAAATAGAAATAATATGTTTATTACTAAATACCTCGTAATTTTTCGGGTTGGGCGATTCGTTGACAGCCTTGAAAACATCGTTTAGGGCTCTTGGCATTATGCCCCTTTCCTCTTCGGAGGCATTTATTATATTATTATTGGATCTGAAATTGAAATAATAAATAATTGTTATAAATAAACAAATATTATTAAAAAACAAAGCCCAACAAGGTGCCGATTTAAATTACTGCAAAAATTGGCAGAGGTAAGAACATTCCCACCTGACGTAAACCTGATGGGAGTCATTTTGGACAAAAATTTAAACAAAAATTGTTTTGACTAATTTTGGAGAAATAAAATTTTAGAGACATTTACTACATTGCTATTGAATTAGCAAGGAATAATAAAAAATAGTTTTAAATAAATAAATATTATTTTTTATATATTTAAGACAGCAATTAGAACTTAACTAGTCCTATGGACTTTTGCTCTGACGCTTTTTTAATGAAGTTGGTTTGGTATACAGCAACTCAAATGGTTACCCTATGATCATGGAATTTTTTTTTTATTTTATATTATTTTTTTCACCTGTCATCAGAATGTGGCCCCGTCATACTGTGTGTTTTTCCAGAGCCGGTTGCCCCATATGCAAAAACGGTTCCATTAAAACCGCTCAGAACATCTTGGACTAGAGGTTTTGTCGTCAAATTATATACTTGCTCCTAAAAATAATCAAAAATATATTATAAAATCTATTTATTGATAATTAACTTCCCGAAGGAGAAGTTTATGTTTTCATCAAAAAACCCGATTCGCTAATTTTATGTTTTCTCGACGTTTCAAGCCATTCTGAATCGAATGAGATCAAATTTGGAAAAAGTATGTGTGTGTGTGTGTGTGTATGTGAACAGATTTTTTGCCGTAAATCGACGTTTTCTCGAAAACGGCTGGACCGATTTCAAAAATTTAAAAGCCATTCGATGTATCTCAACGAGAACTATTGTTTGTCAGTTTTGTGCGACGATCGGCCAAGCCGTTTCTTCATAAATGGCAGAAAAGTGAAAAATTTTTCGTCTACGTTTTAGCCCGCAATTCTGAATCGATTTTGAAAATTCAAAAACCGTTCGAAAGATATTGGTTGGGAATCGTGCTGATTAGTTTTTGGTAGAGATCGGCCGGGCCGTTTTCTTGTAATAAAGTTTTTAAAAAAAAAATTTCGACGATTTTTATGATTATTTTTTTGACGATAGATACCATAGTCTTCTAGATCATACTAAAATATTACGGCCCTACGACAACTGGTTCAGCTTTAAAAATTCGTCAAAGTTTGCAAAAATCAGTATGGTCTTTTTGGCATTTGTCAAAATTAGACTTTTGATCGACGTTTTCTCAAAAACGCCTGAACCGATTTTAGAAATTTAAAAGCCATTTGATGTATTTCGGTGAGGACTATCGTTTGTCAGTTTTGTGCAACGATCTGCCAAGCCGTTTCTTTGTAATTTGAAAAAAACTTTTCATCCACATTTAAGCTCATTCTACCGAACGATTTTAAAAAATCAAAAACTGTTCGAAAGATATTAGTTGGGAATGGTACTGATTAATTTTAGGTGAAAATCTACCGAGCCGTTTTCTTGTAATTAACTGTTGAAAAAAAAATTTAAGCCGATTTTCATGGAATTTTTTTTGGCGATATACATCATGGTCTTATAGAACTTACTGTAATATTACGGCCTAACGACGAGTAGTTTAATTTTAAAAATTCGTCAAAGTTTGCTAAAATTATTATCGTTTTTTTTAAAGTAGGATTAATGAAGTATATTATTTACACTTTTTTTTTTGATTAAGTCGATTATTTACACATTTCGGGAAGTTCATGTAACTTGCCTCAAGGCTAAATACCAAACCAACTAGTTGAAGAATTGGTTTGTGGAATAAATTTATAAATAAATTAATAAATAAAAGTAAAAATCGATATTTACCTGAGTAGCGTCTTCGGCAAATACATAGTCGTATCGGTATCTCCGGGCACTTCGAACTCTATCAATATTTGCTAACTAGAAAAAATATTATAATAATACTATTATTTATAAAATTTTATTATATAAATATATATATTGTATTTAACAATTTATATAAACCAACGTAATTACATATTACTTAAATATAAAATGTTTTGAAGTACATTTTGTAATTCAAAATATTCATATATTTATTTTTAGTTCAGTTTATATTTAATTAAATTTTAATGCATATCATATTTAGTATGATTAAAAATATATAATTTCATTTATATGATAATTATTTAATTTCTACATTATTTTAGGAATTAAATTTCAACATTTATAATTCATCAATTCAATAATAAAATAAAAATGCTTACATTAGAGCTTCCTCCGCCTCTTTCACCAATATTTGAATTTACCTAAAAATTAAATGTATTATTAGTATTTTTAATAATATTATATTAAAATATGCATGTATGTACTTATATTGTGCATAATAATAAGGTTTAATAAAAACTATATGATTACAGATATATTTTGTTATTTAATTTTATTTAACAAATGCCTCGTTTGGTTATATTATTAATGAGTATTTGATCTTGAAATATTTTTTTGAATTGTATCGACAAATGCAATTTTGTAATTTATTATTGAATGTTAAAAATGCTATTTAAAATAAAATTATTTGTTCAAATTATTATATAAATTGCAAAGAAAATTGATAAATGAACAAAACTTTATTCCTTAAATATTTAATTAATTTAATTATATATAAACCATCGTATTTTTTATCATTTATCATTTTCTTGACTCAATTTTAAACTGTTTAAAAATAAAATTAATTATATTTACATTTTGGTTCTCTTCCAAAGCAATTGTATTTGCACTGATTGCATGGACACATCTTGCATAATTTTTTTCTTCTTCAGATTGAGGACGAATTCGGACGGCCACCTGAAAAAAATACAAAAAAATATGAAAAAATTGTAAAATAAACAAAATTATAGTAAAAATGGATTTTGTAACGATTTTGTATCTTAGACTCATAATTAAGAATTTGTTCAAAAAATTATAAATTAAATTGATTTGTATCTATTGTCAGTTTCTGAATTTGATTTGTACTCTTTATTATAAAATTTATTGATATTTATATCAATATGCATTGAATAATATTATTTAATGTCCAAATTATTTTATAAATTTAAATTAGGATCTCTAGACATAGTTTGGTCTCTATATTATTCAATAGACTTGATCAGTTTAACTCTAAAGTTTGTAAAATCATTAAATTTATTAATTTGTATCAAAATATAATTTTAATGATTATTCAATTTTTCAAATGTTTTAGAATTCATCTTAGAAAATTAAAAAAACTACAAAATTTTAGACCTCAGACTTACAAATAATTTAATAATAATTAATTAATTTTTTATCTATTTTGTATCCTTGATTATCACTGTCAATTTTTACTCCTTGGGCCTAATTTTGGCCACAAAGTCAAAGTTTTGCATGTGTATTCGACGAAAATAAATACTTAATGATATAAGGGTGGTTTCCATATCATGTGTACACAAAAAACTAGATATTAAATTCACATTAGCGCAAATAATTTATTTATAAAATTATTGATGGTTACAATTTTATTGTTCACGATTTCTAGAAAGGTACCACATATCGACATATTTATTATTGATTTTTTAATTATTTTCTAACTATTTTCCAATATAGTACTCATGAAGGACATGCAAATATTTTTTACAAAACCAATCATTTTTATTAAATTTAGTTTGTTGTATAAAATTCCAGAATACAAATATCTTGCATATAAAGTTTCTCATTTCCAAAAGAATATAAAAATACTCCTTCATTCTCTAATGTGTCGAAATTTGATTTCGTTAGACAAATCACCATTTAATTTTCATAAATTAGTTCAGAATTAAATTTTGATGCATTCACCACAAATTCCTCATTTCGGAGCCCCCCAATCTATTTACCCATTACCCGTTCTATTTCTGTTTCGATTAAACGTCATTGCAATAAAATGCGAAACCCATAATTTACAATTACTGCCTCTCATAACTGTAATTATGGGGCCCCCTTGTGGGGCTTCATCCCCATCGTCCCGCCCATCTTGACCGACTAAAAGAGGGCTCAATATTTATCGAAGGGAGTTTACAACTTGTATGCATTTTTAACTTTTTGTCGTTTATGTCAACACTTTTTCGGGCTATTTTTAGATTGGAGCAGGTGAATAATTAAATTAATTGGCCCATTATTTTAATTGTATGGAGAGCCCCCAAGTTGGGGGAACGAACTATAGGAAGTATAACAGAATTTATACTTTATATTTAATAAAGTAGTTTTTTTTTAAAAAAAATCAATTGGAGAATTTTATTAAATTTTTCTTAATGAGGAATTTGATGTGGCAAAGTTCATATTAAGAATATAATATTCAGAAATTTTATATAGACTAATTTTTTTATTGCACAATATTAATACATTAAGAAAATTTACAATAAGGAATTTTATATTAATATTTATGATTTTTATATTATTTTTATATTTTATATTTCATATTATTATTATATTTTATATTTTATATTAAAGAATTTTATATTTAAAAAAATTGTTTGATGCATGTTTATACTAAAAAATTTTTTTCAGAATAATTTTATATATCATACTTTAATATTAAACAAATTTCATAGAAGACTTTCATATTTAAGATATTTATATTTTATATCAAAGATTATTCCATAAAAGTATTTTATATCGAAGAATTTTATATTCAGGATTATTTCATTGAATAATTTTATAATAAAGATTTTCACATGGAGATATTTTATATTGAAAAAATAAATATAAACGATTTTATCATTAAGTTATTTCATATTGAAGAGTTTTATAATCAAAATATTTATACTGAGAAATTATTGGGAAACTTGATTAAATTGACCTCTTTAAGGAGAAATTTTATATAAAATATTTTTATATTAAGGATATTCTATTAGGAATTTCATATTAAAAAGGATAGAGGAATTTTATTTTTCCATAGAGAAATTTTGTATTGCATTTTTTTTATTTAAGATATTTATATTTTGAAATGGTGTATCAAGGTTCTATATATTGAAAAATTTCATATTAAGGATTTTTCCATTGAGGAATTTTATATTCAAAATATTTAAATTAAGGAACTTTATAATTAGAACTTTTTCACGGAATAATTTTATATAGAACAATTTTATATTAACGATTCTTTTTCAAAATCCAAATTACATATTGAGGAAGTTTATAATGTAAAACTTGAATAAAAAAAAAATTATGTTCAAAATATTTTATATTGGTAATAATATTTATAGATTTAAGAATGTTTTCCTTTCGAGAAATTGTTTGCAGTGTTTTTCAGTTTTAAAAATGAATCACTATATTTTGTTCATTTATCGTATACCTTAACAAATTGTGAAACATTCAAAATTTACTAAAAATTTTGCTATACAAAAACATTTTGACCAAAAAGATTAAAAGCTTCCACAACTTATAAGATAATTAAACATATATGACCTATATATACATATTTTATATTGTAAATTAAAATTAAAATGACAACTGTTTATTAATTGTCCAATAAATTATATAATAAACTACAGTTATAGTAAATGTAATTTTCAGTAATAGAAATAACGCATCAAATCAAAGTCAGAAATTAAATAAAAAATTCTGTTGAACTTTCACGCACAACCGACAATTGAAATCAATACAATTATATATATACAAATATATATATATATATATATATATATATAATGTAATAAATATAATTGATTGACAATCAATCTCTTTTGCAGGAAGCAAATTACAGGTGTACATAATTTATTTATTTCGACAGTGAAATATTTCAATCAATGATAATAATTTGCTTGTATAAATAATTAAATTACATAAAATGTATATCACACGATGATATCTAAATTGAATTAAATAATAAGTATGGTTTTAATTAATTTGTAAAGCAAAAAATACAATAGTCAAATAAAGTGATGAATAAAATTTGTAATCATTCAATAAGAAAAAGTTTGAAAACTTTGGTCTAAAATCATCTAAAAAAATCAAAGTCTGACCAGATTCAAAACGTGTAAACTAACAAAAACTGTAGTCAAAGTTTTTAATAATTGATATAATCAAGTAAAAACATTTATTGAAAATGAGATATTAAAATCGCCAAGTATAAGTATATAATTTTCGCTTCTCCATATATTGCTCTTTGCATTTCTATTAAGGAATTTTAAAATTTGTATAAATATGTCACCCATGGGTGGTAAACACAGAAAAAATGTGCTTTACCCTGTTTTATTCATATATTCATATAAATCTTGTCTAGATTAAAACCCAAAAGTAACTTTACGTGCTAGAGATAGTGGCACCTCTATGAATTGCGGAAGAAAATAAAATTGTTTTGGTTGCAATATATTCAAACTTCTTTTATCTATGGTGTTACTTAGCTATTTATTATTATTAATTATGATTTATTACTAATTTACTGACCATAAGCCTTTCTTCCGAAGGTTTTGTGTCTTTAGTCGTCGAAGAAGCACTTCCACTACTACTAGAAGAACCGTTGTTGTGCGTCATTTTTTTTAATTTTTAAATTTTTTTCCAAATTTTACACTTGATTTACATATTTTATATTTGTATTTAGACAATTTTATATAGTTTATGTTAAAATGTTTGTATAATTTGTATTGAACGACTTGGAAACGCAACACATTTCAGGGGACGAATTATTGTCCAACTATTTTAATAGTATTTATCTAATTAGAAAAATTAATATATATGTATATATATATATATATATATATATTTATATATATAGATATTTATATATATGTATATACACCTAAGTCTGTTTTTACACGGAGATTGGTTCCAGAAGAAGCCGTGTAAAAAAAAAACGTGTAAAAAAAGACATGGATCTTATACAAAAATGGGTGATTTGTTCCTAATCTCTAAAACCTATTAAAATTAGTGAAAAACAAGAATTTTCAGGGTATTCCCCTAAATGAGTGCTATTCACATTTGCTTTCACCAGTAAAAATTGTTTGTACGCGCTAAAGGGGAATTCACTTAAATCTTTAAGCTAGTGTTCGCAAACTATCGATACTATCGATGGTTTCAGACTTTTTTCTTTCATAAATACTTTTTTGTGATACGAACATACTTCGCAAAAATTTAATTTGACAAAAAAATTTAAGTACATAAAATTTCAAATCGTGCTAAATGGAATAAATTCGTGTAAAAAAATTAAAAATATTCAATTTTCAAACCGTGTTATATCAAAACCGTGTACAAAAAGACCGTGTAAAAACAGACTTAGGTGTATAAATATTTTTATTTAAAATAATTTTAAATTTTATAATTTTTTAATTTTAATTTTATTTTTAAATAAAATATTTTAACTTTACATATTTATTAGCAAGTTTATATTTTGTTAACGCTATTTCAAAATTGCAAACTGAGGTTTATAAACTTTTATACAAATTTATTATGGATTATTAATTAAATTGACTATTTAGTTAAATAAATAAAATAAATATTTTAAACAAAAATCATAGTTTTATACAATTTATAAACAACACCTGATGTATAGACTACAAGTTTAACACAAAAACAGTTAATTTTGAAATTAATAAATATAACTGTTATATATAAAATAAATTCATTTATTTATGTAATATAAGTAATGGAGCGAGAGTTGTTTCATTTTCCTAAAATTTTTAGGATATTTTTTTTAAATTTAGTAAACTTTAGTAAAAATAATTTATTAAAAATTATTGTTAAACATAAAATAATTATTTATGTAATACAAGTGATGAAGTGATAGTTGTTTTATTTTCCTAAAATTTTTAAGAATTTTTTTTATAAATTTTAGCAAAACACCTGAAACACTTCTTACACTTTATACAACTTCAACTTCAAATTTATTTATTAAGTTTATTAAATTTATTCAATTTTAAAGACTATTTCACACAATATCACATTAAAACAATATCCTATTATTCTTTTAAAACAATATTTCAGAACAAAACTGATAAAATTTAGTAAAACAAAATATATGAACGACACCTAATGTTTATGCAAAAGTTTAAATTCATAAACTGTTAATTGTAATTTTCACATTTATTTTATATATTCTTTATGTTATTTTAAATATAATAATGTACAAACTTTTAATACATTATTATTATTTTATATAAATTATTATTCCTACTTAAATGTTTATATTACATAAATAATAAAATACTAACTAATTTTGGAAAACAACAAGAAGTTAATATATTATTTGAAGTCATTTGAAATAAAATTTAAATAAAAAAAATTAAATTGTAATTTTGGTTGAAATAATAATAAATAATAAATAATAATTAAAAATAATATTATAAATAAATATTTCTCGTCAAGAACCAAATAATTTAGGAAGCACCTGATGCATAGGCAACGTTTTTACACTACAACAGGTAAAAATAATATTAAAAAAATATATAAAAGTAATTATTTATAAGTGTATATATTTTTAATACTAATATTATATATATACCATAAATTCACTATTATTATTATTATTATTATTATTATTATTATTATTATTATTATTATTATTATTATTATTATCAGAGCACTAAGAACAAACTATTACCACACACTCACAAATGTGTTAATTATTATATTAATAAATAAATATATATTTTATTTTTTTTTGTGTTTTTTCTATTAGTATTAATGATGTTTTTAGTGTTTTTCTCGTATTGATTTAATAATTACATTTCTGGCGTTTAGTAGCACAGAAAAACGTGTTTTCTATTCGAAGGCTGAATTAGGAATGAAAACCTTTGAGGTAAAGTTGTGTAGGATATAGATAGAATAATAAATGTGTATATATGCCTATGGGTATATATTTATATATATATATATATATATATATATATATATATGTATATATGTATATATGTTTAGTGCTGAAGAATCTATAAAATGTAAGTCGATGTAACTAACAAGAAACCAAGGTACGAATTTTTATTATAACAACAGTGAATAATAAAATTCAAAAATGTTCAAAAATGTTCTTGTAAATGAATAATATACCCAGTACGTCCCTTGTTTTATTTTAGATAATTTTGTTAAAAATAATTAAAAAGTAAATTAGATTAATCCAACAAAGTAATAAACAACTATGTATATCTATCTATAACAGAATTCTAATAAAATTTATTTTAAATTATGACAAAACTTTATTTTTAAAATTACTAATTAACGCACTTACTAAAACATAAAGTTGTTTCAAAAATGATAATAATACATTTTGCAACATAAATTAATAATTATATTTTATTTACTATTTTTAAAAAAAAAATGAGAAAATTTCAATTTTTTATAAAATGATTAAAATCAATTTAAAGTAAAAGTTAAAAAATTTAAAGTATTACAAAATTTCCTGGTGATCTTCAAAATAAATTTAATAAAGTAAGAAAAATTATAATATTTTTCTTTAATACAATTTATGAAATTTTTTACACTTTTTCAAACCGAGAAAATATACAGCAACTCGATATGATGCATCCTTTTTATTTTATTTCTATAACTTTACAATTATTTGTTTAATATGAATTATGTGTTTTCCACCTTGTTTAAAATTAAATAATCTAAAACTTTTTCTAACACAAAAAAATCCTACAGCAACTCGGTATACTTCTAAATTAATATTGAACATTAAATTGAGATCTAGAACAACTCACGCCCACTCATAAATTATTTTGTAGAATGAAAAATGTTTTTTCCCAAGTCTGGTTTAAAAAAATGAATAAAAAATTCCTAAAACGTAATATTAAAATTATTTAAATATATGAAAAAAATCCACGTGTCTCATTCATTTTTCATCATATTTAAATTTATTCTACTATTTTGAATTATTACCAAGATGGAATAAAAAAAATATTAGACATATTATTTTTCGATCGTGTTGTCAAACAAAAACACTAATAATTATTTAAATTTAAAATCGAATTGATATAATAAAATCAATAGAAATATCGAAAATACAAATACTCTAGGTCAACAACTCTACAAAGCTGCGTTTAGAATTAAAACGATAGAAAATATTATTTATTTAATAATATTATTAAAAATAGTAATGAACATTAAATACTACTAAATTTTGATACAAAAAAATCATTTAAATTTAAATATACAATTTATTATTTCAATAAAAAAATTCAATCACCTTAATCGACTCATATTAGGGGTATGTTGTTTATAAATATTATATTATATTTAATTTAGTATTTTATAAATATTTTTAAAGCCCAGATGATTTTTTATTTTTAAGATCTATTACAATTAATTACTAGTAAAAAATATTATAGAATTTAATTTTTAGTTTCAACCAATATATAAAATCTAGTTTATATATTTTTTTATATTTATATATCATATCTACAATAAATATATAAACTCTAAAATGTTTTTGAAATATTTATTCTATCAATATTATTGTTTTACTTTCATGTAAACCTGCTCTTAAAAATCGTGCAGAACAAAATATATAAATATATAATTAAGTATGTTCTCTACTCTTATATATAAGTGGGGAATAAAATAATTATTAAAATCAGCTTAAGAAAATATATAGACATATATTTGTTTATAACAAACGCCAAATAACGACATAATCTGAATCAGATCACATCTGTAAATAAATTTTCAAAAATATTTATTAAATTTGTAAAATAATTACGTTAAAGAATATTATATTAGGTGCAACAATTATTAACTACATTTAAAAAAAAAAAAGATTAATTAATTAAATGAATAAATTTATAAAAGTTTCCAAAGTGTTTGTGAGGATATATTAAAAGTATTATTTTTTAATTTAGTGTATTAAGGAAAAGTTTTGTGCTCTATTTTTTAACCATTTTTTATTTAGGTACAAAAATATAAAACAAAATCAATAAAATTTGAAAATATTATTAATAAATTTTGAATGCTATTTCATTAATTGACAATATATAACAAGTGTAATTTTTTTTGAGTTTTTTTACTATACAAGATATTGTTAATAATAAAATACAGAATTTCAGTTTTGAAATATATTCTTTCAAAAATTATAGTGTCAGGTGTTTTAAAAAATATATAATTTCTTCAATAAATTGTAATAAAAATAAGAATTTTAGTATTTGAAAATATAAAAACTTTAACTTTTATGTATGTAATTGTTTTTACTAAAATATATAATTAATTATTTTAGATAAAATTCAGATATTGAAAATATATTAAAAATATTATTTAAATATTGACTCTAGATTTTGGTCTTAAAATATATTAAAAACATTATAAAATATTAGCTTAAAGCAGCTAATTATAATTAATAAATTTAAAAAAAAATTATAAGGATAGAAAAGTATTTTTTATCAATAATTATTTTTATATTAAAAAATTCTAAAATAATGTATTACATAAGAATATAATTTATATTCAAAAATATTATTTTTAAAAATAGTAAACTTAAATTGTTAAAAGTGGCAGTTATTTAAATAATTATAATTAATATAAAATATTATTTAAAAATCAGCTTAATATTA